TGCATTAGAATCATCTGGGAGCTTTAAAAAATTCTGATTCTCCATCTCCACTCCAGAGCCAATAACATTAGAATGTCTGGCAGTGGGACTCAGGCTGCAGTATCTTTTTAAACCTTTCCATGTAATTCTAGTTTGCAGCCAAAGTTGAGAATTGGTGGTTTAGTTTATGTTGCAGTCTCATACCATTTACCCTACCCCTGAGTTTGCTGTGCATGTCTGAGTACAAGCAGGGACATCCTACATACAGAGCGACAACAGTGCACACAGAGAACCCTTAGCCAATCATCACGGACTCCAGGAGTTTTAAATTACTTTCACATGTAGACTAAGTGGCCTGATTGCACAGATTGCTACAAGGACGAGTAAGGGAGAAGTCACTGCATGTAAAAACGTTGCCACTTATAAGGGAGGCTGTTTCTTATCTATTCCATGCATATAACTCAGCAAGTCCAGAAATGGTATAGACTCAAGCTAGGATTTAGTCCATATTCCTCGATGTCCTTTTTTTCCCATGTCAGCTTGAAACTTAAATTTACATTGTACTTTCTAAGACTGTTTCTGCATCTTTACTTGCATCAGTTCCTGCATGAAATTACCTCTCCATTTTTCCCAGTTTCCATTTGACCTTCTTTTCCCCCCCCAAAATCCACTTGATCAGCCATTCCTGGAAATAGTCCAGGATCCCCTGGTCCCCAGGAAGCCCTCAGTTTGCTCAGCTGTAAGGCCAGTCATTTGGCCCTTAACCTGAACTGTCCTTCATTATTATTTCTCCAAGTCTTCTCAACCAGTGCATAAGCTTTTTAATGCAGAGAACTTGAATCACACGTTTTTATTCCCATTAGATAAGTGTCTTACACATAGTAAGTGATCAGTAAATGGTTGTTGATGATTTAAATGGTTGTTGATGACTTATCAAATTAGATGTGGTTTTGCCCTGAAATTAGACATCAGTTCTTTCAAGATTTTCTTGTCTACACACAAAACTGAGTTAAAGATTCTATTATATCATCATAGCTCCTCAGGTTAGTTTCACACTGGAGTAGATTTGTCGGTTTCGTGTCATAGTCTTTGAAGTCTGAGTTTTATTCATTGGCAAGTCTAGCACCTACCACAGGAATGACAAAAATCATCTCTACATGAGCACATGAGCACATGCTGCAGCCTAGATCCTTAGATTATTTCAAGGTAACCTTGCACTTCAACACAGCATGTCATGTAAGCAAGTGCAGGAATTGGAACCCGACATATCCAAGATAAACGATAAATGGAAAGTTGCTGTGATTTCTTTTTATTATTATTATTATATACCTTCCTATATTATTTGTTCTTTTTTTCAAGAAGATATAGCAACTGTTAATATGCAAGGGCAAAACAGAATTTCAACATACATAAAGCAAACTTTGACAGAAAGTAGAAACAAATAATTCCAATGGTAGAACATTTTTCAGTAGTAAGAAATTTTTTTAATGCAAATCAAAATATGTCTCAAAACATGAAAAGGAAAGCAAAATATTCCAAAACCTATGGGATGCAGCAAAAACAGATGTTAGAGTGAAATTTTTGCTATAAATGCTTGTCTTAAGAAAACATTTCAAATAAACAACTTAACATTATGTCACAAGGAACTAGAAAAAGAAGAAACTTAGCTGAAATATAGTAGAGGAAGAAAATAACAAAGAAAAATCAGAAACAAATAAAATAGAGACCAGAATAAATAATAATGTAACACTGAAAGCACTATGTTGTTGTTGTTGTTTTTCATGAATGAGACTTCTTCTGTCCAAAATGAAATGGTTTGGTAGGTGAACAAAAACTCAAGAATTAACATTATTGGTAATTTGTTATCCATATTTTTATTTTTTATTTTTATTTTTTAAAGATTTTGTTTATTTATTTGACAGACAGAGATCACAAGTAGGCAGAGAGGCAGGCAGAGAGAGAGAGAGAGGAGGAAGCAGGCTCCTTGCTGAGCAGAGAGCCCGACATGGGGCTCTATCCCAGGACCCTGGGATCATGACCTTAGCCGAGGGCAGAGGCTTTAACCTACTGAGCCACCCAGGCACCCCTGTTATCCATATTTTTAGAAGTACTATGAGTCAGACTAAATATCAAGCTGATTGATAGCTCTCTACATAATTTAAGTATTTGCCTTTTTTTCTGATTTAGTAGCCTATTTTTGAACTATGAGCATTTTTATTGCAAAATATTTTTTAACCTCTAAGACCTCTTTTACCTGAATTGTATAAAAATATTCTCAACTCTGGCACATTAAGAACATTCTGTAAGTGTCTGAAAATGGAATTGAAATAATCATGAAATATGTAATTGTTTAGGATCAGGTGCCTTCTGGTATCACGACTTTTCATGTTTATGCTTTTTGCTCCATAGAACGATATATATAGAAAGAGACAGTGGCATAGAAAGATAATTTAGATATTGAAATGACTAGATCTTTTGAGAAGAGTAGCCGTGTGTTAGCTATTTACCACATCTACCTTCTGTCTACTTTTGGACTTTCAGTTTTCATAATCATTATTAATAATAATATTAATACAGTAAAAATCAGCCAAAAAGTCATGCTTTCTATGAAGGTCTTAGAACTGCATTGACTTGGGAAAGGCCAGCTGATCTAGCTTTCTGCTTTAATAACCCAGGGACTAGCTTTTGCCAACAGCCTGGAGTTTTTGGACAGTAAGAGACTTAATGTACATAAGACTGAGGGAGACACCGGAATACCAATTAATTAATTTCACCAACAGTGATAATGCCTACATAGACCATAAATACTATGGCTTGTATAATAAATGCATAATCTCTTTGTAGTCAAAGTACATATAAAACAAGAAATAATTAAAAGTCCTTTTATTGATTTACTCTGATAAATCACAAAGGCCTTAAATATTTTAAATCTGTTCCATCAGCCCATTCTGTGCATGGCAGTCAGAAGTTTGCTTGGAGAGCATGAAAGCAGAGTTGTAGAAATTAATATTGCTAGTGTGTAGTGTTATTACCTATAGCTTAATTTTCCCACTTGGTGATAGATGTGGTGTTGCCGATGAGACTAGGACTATTACAGCTCCAACCTCTTACTTCCTTTCTCCATACTTATGAGTATACTTGGAGTAAACCTCATGAGATCTGAAAAAGTGAAGATACTGAAATGTGATGGCCCCGTCTACTTCTCCTTTAGATGGTGTTTACTTGGTAGCCACCAGTATTTCCTCCTCTTTGATTGTTCTTTAGCTAATCAAGACTACCTGCTATTAGTATTTCTTTGCTAATAGATCTGATTAGTTTATTGTTAAGTATTACTGGCCAAGGATCATTTTTCTTATCAGGACATTTTGTATATCATGTTGATTTTACGGCTTAACTCTTAGAAAGTAACCTCTCCTCATCTTGGAATTTTCTGGTTTGGTTTGTTTGTTTTGTGGGGCAGGTGAGATAACACTGTAGTTTTAAAGCAAACAGCATCTTTTGTTTACTGAGAGTCTGCTCTGTGCTAACTGCTCTACAAGTCATTTCTCATACGGCACACAGTTTATTCTCAAAGAGCATTCCAAGTGGGTACTACATTTTCCTTTATAGAGGAGTAAACTGAGATAGAGTAAAGCTAAGTCTCACAGCTAGAAAGGAGCAGAATCAGTATGTGAATCTATGTTTGTCTGATTCCAAAGCCCTTATTTTTTTTCTACTGTGCTATTATATCTGAAAAAAGTATCTTCAGTGCTTGAATGCACTGTTCTTTTGAAACCTTTCACAGTAGGAATAGTATTATTCAGCAATGATTAGAGACATCTCTTTAGTAGTAAATTTCAAATTTAAAAATCAGTGATATATCTGAAGGAAGTGGTGGGACCCTTAGTACTGTCTTACCTCCTCTCCCACTGGTCTAGAATAAGAATGGATGATTCTGTAAACATTCTTTGTTTGTCGGGCAAAAATAACAACTTTCCCAAGGTCAGATCAAGTTGCAAATACAAAGAGTTTTTTTAATTAAAAATTTTAACTCTATACTACTTCTATGTGAAACTTGTAGTGAAAGGAAAGGGAACTCTCTATTTAACTAAGAATATTTGCCACATATTTTTAACTTATAATAGTATTCTTAGACTCAAATACCAAAAAAAAGTGTTTAATTTTTAAGTGTCTAAGTGCATTTCCTTATAGGCATTAGCTCATCAAAACATAACACCTTCCTTTGATTTTTTCCCTCTAACTTAGGTATTCTAAGGGGCAAATAAGCCTGAGAATCCACATCTAAATCCTTCATAGAATTGTGGAAATGAAAACTGAATTATATTTATATTTTCACTCTTTTTTTTAAAACCACTTTGCATGGTTGATATTAGAAATGAATGGGGAGGTGAGGAAAGAAAAATTCTCAAGTGTTTCAAGATTCACAGCAATTGTAAAATTTATTCAATTCTCAATAAGCTTTAAGCAAATACTGAACTTTTGGTCATGGAGTCTGTGGTTTCTTTATAACCAATACTTCTACAATTCATAATAATCATACTTTTAATAAATTGCACATTCATTTTAATGGCAATCATTTATTTATTTTTGTTTATTTTTTGATGAAAGAAATTTTAGTTCTTTCCCTTCTTTTAACTGCCAACAGTATTTGTTATTCATAGATGTTCTGTCTTCAATAAGGTCTATCAAAGTGTAAAACTAGTTGGGTATTTTTCTTCTCTTTAAAATGGAATGGTCTTTCATTATGCAGTGTTCTTAGGTGAATTCTCTTGTTTAAGAAGCCAGAATACAAGAGAGTGCTATATTAGAGCATTATTCTCACAACAAACAAGCACTGTTCTGTTGCTACCTGCTTGGCCATTGTTTCTGATTGTGAGCGCTTTGCAGTGGTATTTGGATGGTTTCCTGCTCTCTGCCAGCACAAAAAGGCATTTCTGTTACAATGGCCCCTAACCACACAATGACGGCATTAAGGATTTATGTGGAGGTTTCATTATTTTCTCCTCTTTTGTTCCTTCCAGGATGTCTTCCAAGCGACCAGCCTCTCCGTATGGGGAAGCAGATGGAGAGGTAGCCATGGTGACAAGCAGACAGAAAGTGGAAGAAGAGGAGAGTGACGGGCTCCCAGCCTTTCACCTTCCCTTGCATGTGAGTTTTCCCAACAAGCCTCACTCTGAGGAATTTCAGCCAGTTTCTCTGCTGACGCAAGAGACTTGTGGCCATAGGACTCCCACTTCTCAGCACAATACAATGGTAGGTTTCTCATGGTCTCTTGTGCCTATACTTACTCTTTGACCAGTCTACTCCTCTAACAGTTTGGCTTCAATCCTTTGCTTTATAATTATCATCTACTTAACAGCCAGACACAAGATTCACTCCTAACATCTTAGAATGCCTTGCAAGTAAATTGATTCCAGTAGGAAGTACATGATATGCTATTTTTTCCCCCAAGAATTTTACTTTTGAGACACAATTTAATTAGGAGAAAACACGTATACATATAAGAATAATGTTCAAGTACCGCATTTAAAGTTTGTCAGCATGACAGTTGGATGTCGTAGTATTTCTAATAAGAGGTTTTTCCAGGTACATTTACAACGTATTTTGGACATCTCCACCATGATAAATCATTTTCAATTTTCTGCTTTGCCCAGATTGGATTCCAGTATTCCTTTACAGTACTGGGAATATTATAGGAGAACGTATTTCATAGAAACTATAGTTTTTTAATGTGACTGCAATACTTTCTAAATCAGTCTCATTCATATTGTTGTTTTGATAATTCGCTAATTACCTGGTACCTCCAATTCCAGAATTTGCTTCTCAGGATTATTTATCTGCCCCTTCATCTTGGGGTCTGGATCATTGTCATTGCAGAAGATTAGGAAACTGTGGTTTCACGGATGAGGGGGAAGAAGGCAGCATAGCATCTTCAACTGAAGCTTAAAAGTGCGCACATGCACACACACACATACACACTCACTCACTCACTCACCAGTAAGGCTTTTAGGTCCTCCTTAGGAACTTACGTACACAGAATTAGCACGTTGGCAAAGTACTGGACACTTAGCTGCCAGTAAAGCCAGGCTCGCCTTTTCAACATGGCTGCTTGGGTAGATGTCATGGTTTTGTGACCTTCTGCTCTTCTACGTCAAGGACGGGAGGGCGGGCATTAATTGGAAGCAGATTACACCAGCAAAACTGTTTCCTCATACCATCTCATAGTTTTTGAAGATGACTCTGATTCTGTGAAAGGCTTTTTTTTTGCTTTCTCTAGAAAATTATTACATATCATAAATGTGCTTGGTATTGAAATATGCCCACTTATTTATGTTATTGCATTACTGTATGTAGAATTAAATCAAGAAGAAGAATCAGATATCTCCTAATAACTGTGAAATGGATGCTACTTTTTGTCACTCAGATTAGATTTAAATACTCTTTCAATATTTTAAGCCTCATAGGTCAAAATTTCACTGGTGGATTACTTTGTGCCAAGATTTTCCCCCCAAGGATAGTATTTCGGCTAACACCATCTAAAACTTATATAGATGTGGCATTTTAATCACATTACGTGTATTAACTCATGTAACCTTCACAATAATATGGTGACATGTTATTATTAGTCTCATTTTATAAATGAGGAAACTGAGGCACACAGAGGTTAAGTAGTTTGCTTCAGATCACACTGATACAGAGGAGAGCCAGTGTTGTTTACCCAGACATTCTGGCTTTGGAGTCCGTGCTTATAAACATAAGCTCTTCACAAGAGCACATGCATATTTTATTGTCTGATTATTACTTTGTTGGCAAGCTAAATCGTACTATCCATAATTCCTGATTTATTTTTTCTCTACTGTGAGTTTATATTAGTTATGTGCAGTGATACAACTTTTGGGGCTCCGCTCATGAAGGTTAAACTAGGAAAAGAAAGGTGGAAAATGGTAGCACACAGTTCAACAAGGTAAGGAGATTGTGCTCTCCATTTGGCATTGCGTCACTGCTAATGCCTTTTCTCTCTCAGTATTTTGACCGTTGGCTTCTCTGAGTGAGTGCTTCTTAGTTTGGTTTTCCTGTGACACTACTCTAAGCATAAACACACAAATTTGAAGGAGTGAATATAAACAGTTATAACCAGAAGCATGCCGTAAAAATAAAGGAGAGATTATTTTAAGTATACTCAAGGATGGGTATAAGAAAAGTATATTAAATTATGTTCTGTAGTTGGAATGTGGGGATCCTGTGATGCAGGATGTTAGTGAAAAGGAAACCGGCTTGTAAGGAAGAATTCAGTTCAACTAGATACAAACTGTGAATTACCTACTTTGGACCAAGTTTTTTGTTGTTATTGTCGGGCACTGTGGAAATCGATTTGAACAAAACACAACTCCTCCTCTCAAGCAACTTCACCTAGAGCTCACCTAGAGCAGCACCTGAGCCAGGGTCTATGAGAGCTCCTGAAAATAATTGGAGAATTCTGTATTATGCATACATGTGAGTAAGATTATGGTTCTCATCAGATTCTCAGACATATTTCGGGATACTAAAATGGTTTAAGTACATTTTAGTGACATGCTGACACTTTCTCTTATATGTGTCCAGTTTGTTTCTAAATATGTTCCTGCCTAAAATGTTTCATTCCATCAATTTTTCATCTCTTGGGTAGACAGTTGGAAAAATCTCTCATATGATCTCAGATTTTTAGCCTCTCCTCTTTTGGGTTTTCCTTCCAATATCCACTAGACTTGTTTCCCTCACAATTGAGTTGAATTGTTTACCTCACTTTGGGAACTGTGTGTCCTTGTTCTTATAGGACTTAGTCTAAAACTCTTTGTCTTAGCATAAAACTCTGTATAGAGTAGCACCAAACTATGGCTTTGGTCTTTTCTCTTGTCATTTCTCACTGTGGACCCATTATTCTTGTCAGGCCGAGTATTTTGTGCATGTTCAGAAATACACCAGGTGACCTCGGATGACACAGGTTTATTCTTTCTATCTAGAAAATGTTCTCTTTTCATATTTTACCTTCCTGGTGAATTGCATATAATTATATATAACTATATTATGTGATATATTAATATAGAATATTAATATATAATCACTATATATTAATATATAATTAATATAGAATATATAAAATATATTTGTGTATCTGATACTTAGCATATAATAGACAATGTATGATTACTGAATAATGGCAGAATTCATATGGATGATTAATTGTAAATATGTTTTGGGCAAGGTTGTTACGACTATTCATGGTGAATGTACTTATTTTCTAGAAATTTAAGAAGTAGAATGTACTAATGTAATGAATACAGAAAGCGGAAAGTATGTCTAATAGCCCTGATATATTCACCTGTTAAGCTCTTTGATATATTTTGTTCATTTATCAAAATGATTGAATATATTTATCGAATTGTTATTCAACACAAGTTATTATACTTTTTCTGGATAGTAGGCCATTGTAATAGTCACTTAACAGAAACTTTTATTTCAGTAGGAAAATATATTTTCTTTCTTTTTTTTTTTTTTTTTCTGTTCAGTATCTTTGAAAACAGACACAATGTTTCATGGTCTCTATATCATAGAGTTCAATTTAAGGAAAAAAAAAAAAACAGGTTTCCAGATTTCGTTGCCTATTTATATGTGACATTCATACTCCATTCTTAAATTAAAAAAGGAATGAGAGGTCCACATTTTATATTGCCAATATAGTTTAGAGACAAAGTATAACTGATGAGTAATCCCTGTAAGGCTGGCTCAAAGTTAGAGAGATGCTCTCAGTGTAACATTTAAGTTGGGAAAATATTTTCTGAGGATAAAAGTTCTGTACACTTCACAACTGTTGCCGTATAAAGATCTTGAGGAATTGGGGTTGTTTGTTCATATGCAGGGTATGCAGGTATTTGGAACTGGGTCAGATGAAGATGTAATTCTTCCCTTCTGAAGTTTGTTTAGTGCCTGAATATTTTGGTGAAATAAATTAAGTGCCTTACTAAAAACAACTTCCATCAGCTATGCTGATATGAATACTATAATTCTATCTATTCTTGGAATGCTTTACTCAACTGTTCAGGGTGCATTATAGGTCAACTGTCTTAAGCTATTTATTTTTTAAAAATTGTAAGATTTCTAGCCAATGTAAGATTGAGACATAGATAGCTTAAGCATGAAAAAGACTGATTCTGTGGTTTCCTTCTGTGAAGCTCTCATAATCTTGCCAAGCATTAATGGCAAATTTTGATTCCCATGTAATCTTCAAAAAGGGGAAAGACAAGGTTGTAAAGTTTGGTTTTGACATGAGTGGAAAGGCAGTTTGGGGCTTTATTTTTATGGAAGATCAGATCTACCCATCCTGTCCCCTTCTTCACTTCTCCCCCTTTTAAAACATGGGTTTGGAGACTGTCACTTTAGAGTTTCAGAGGCAAGCAAGAATCACTATAATTTCTGGCTCATTTTTAATAATAGTTCTGATACAAACGAATTTATTTCATGATGCAAAGAACTATTGAGAACATATCTTCATGTCAATCAATGTGATTATATATGAGCACTAGAAAGGAATAGAATGAGTATGAGGAGAAATCAAGTGGCAGCATGAGAGGCAGCCAAGGGACTCTGTGGTCGCCATTTTGGTGCTTATTTTCTGTCTGGTTGCGTACTACTTCTGCTAGCTGGATTGTTGTTTTAGTGTCAAATGTGATGTGAAATGAAAGGCTTGACCACCTGTGGTTACTGAATAGTCAATTGTCTCTTTCTTCTTACTTTTTTTTTTTTTTTTTTTTACAGAAGGTATAGTCTTATCTTAGCCAAACTCTCTTTTGACTTCTTAAAATCCGTCTACGGCCATACCACCCTGAACGCGCCCGATCTCGTCTGACTTCTTAAAATCCTCTTGAGTTGAATGAATTGTTTTATGTAACTATAGGATGGCTCCCTCTTAACACTGATTTTTAAAATATATAATTATTTATTTTAACAGTACAGTATTTTTATTAAAAAATAACTTGAGTTGCTCACTTTATAGATAACTAAATTTCATATGAAATGAAGACTGTGTTTGTGTATAGTTTTTTAACATTTAAAGATCCATTGGATTTGGAAACAATTTTTAATATGTTTTAGTATCTCATTTAATGTTCATATTGATAATCTTTTCCTGGAATTGTTTAAAAAAAAAAAACTCTGGATACATAGTGTTTGGGGCTTAATAATTTGATTTATCTTAATGTAAATGTGTTTAAACATTG